GTTAGTCGACTCCTCCAATTCAATTCCTGCTCCTCTATTTATTCATCCATATAGGCTCCAGATTAACTTCTCGGAATTTGGAGGGAAACATTTTGATTGGTTCCGAATGAAAAAAACGCAGCTATTTTCCCACAAATCGAAATGTACCAGAAATATTTTTGAAATTCAAATGTTTAAGCAAGAGCCTAACGCAGCGTCTGTTTTCTCTCGTAAAAGCAGACGATACACGCTCAAGCAGCTTAAATTTCTTATATTCTACTCCTGGGCGGAGCAGTGTTTACCTGTATTCACTGGAAACAGGGCGAGCAATAACTGAGCAGTACTAAAAATAAGAACTAGATGAGGTATCTCGTGACATGGGCAATGAAATAAGAATAGTCTACCCTAGATTAAATAAAAGGTTGTAACTATATTTATATCTACCGTAAAATATTACATACCAATTATTTGCGAATTTTGAGTCAGGAGTTCAGACAGAAGGGTTAAAATTGTTCAGGAACGCAGGGTTCAAAGGGTTAAGTCAATTTTGGTTGTTTATATGTAATTGATGTATTGAATTGATTGGTTTACCTCCTCTAAGAGTGTGAGATTTTGATACTCCTAGTTGTGTCAGGAAAAAGGATCCAAAGAGTGTGAGTTCAATACCTGGCTTTTCGGTGGAGAACTTGGAAGGGGAATTAACAGGAGATAACTCATAACTGACATCCATTAGACATGGCACGTCGAACTAGAACAGTCTACCCCAGCGAACGAAATAAAGGATTCAGTTCGACATTCCAACCACCTGAAGAAGGCTGGAGCGTACAACGGCCGAAACGTTGTGATAAATATGGTGACAAAGATGAGGTCAATAGTCCGAATAATGTAAATAGTGTACATAATACCTCATCTCAGAAATATAGACATTTAACTTTTAAGATTCCGTTTGTTCATTTCGTGTAGCCTGAGATAAGCATAGTTCATATCTCCAAAATAACGAAATTTTATAGTTCCCTAATTATATTGTTTATTTTTATTATTTGTAATTGTACCATTTTTATTTATGTAATTTTGTAATTTTTTTTAATTTTATTATGGTAACATGTCACTTGCTCACTTCGAATGGCGCCGAGCATGTAACCATAACATAGTATTTACTCATTACTCATTAGAGTAAGACCAGGTTTCTAATAATTAGACGACAACGGGCGAGTCTATTGTTACGGACAGAAAAAGAGAAAACGTCATACTTTTCAGTAATATATATGACTTTTAAAAAAAAAAAAAACATTATGCTTAATAAATTAAATAATTTTCAGCGTTTCATTTAATGGTGTTTAAATCGTTGTCTTTTCAACCAGGAATTGTTGCGTGGACAGACAAAAGCAATGTCGACTTCGTTCCCCGAATCTACGGCGAATTACCAGATTCAGTAATAAGTTCCTGCGCAATAATACAATATACGACAAATACATTGGTACTGCGTAAATGCGAACTATTTGCTGATTGGATATGCAAATTTAAACAGGGTAAGTATTATGGGAAAACTTTTGCATTTTTCGTAGTTCACTTCAGTTACAGATACGCTACGGATTAGTTTGGTCTCGTTTGGTTTGTTTTACGGCATATCCACTTTAATGGGTTATTTAATGCCGACAAGATTTTTTATTGCTGGTAATATTTTTTCAAAACGTATTTGGTTAATTTGCAGTGTAACACCCGCGCTCAGTTCGCACTAAAAATTTCCAGAATACTTACATTTATTTGTAATTGTACATGCTCCATTTGAATCTGGCTTGATAAATTTGATAAAATCTACCATTTTGGAGTTGTCGACAGTGAAATTTCGGATTCATTCGCGTCGCGGGCAGCCATTACTGACGTTGTTTGTATACATTCGCTGCAGAATAGCTATCAGTGTACGTATCATTGCGCAAGCTGAACGTGTCTACGTAAATAGTTTTTGTGCGCAGTAATTGAGACAAATTTAGACAAGAAAGATCAGTTCCGAGCTTAGGTTTCCGTAGTCTTCCGCGTTTAGCTTTCCGCAGCGAATGTATGCAAACAACGCGAATAATGGCGGCCGCCAACGATGCGATTGAATCCAAACTTTCACTGTCGATAACTCCAAAACGCTAGATTTTATCAAATTTATCAAGCCAGATTCGAATGGAGCATGTACAATTACACATAAAGTTAAGTATTCTGGAAATTTTTAATGCGAACTAAGTGCGGGTGTTACACTGCAAATTATCTAAGTATTTTTGGTAATATTTTTTCCAAAAATGTATTGCTGGTAATAATGTATTACTGGTAATTAATAATTTTTTTCTTAAAAAATCTAATGCTGGTAATAATTTTTTACAAAACTATTTTGCTGGTGTTAAAATCTATTTTTACACGTTTCGACTCCAAGTTGGGGGTTAACTATTTGCCCATAACTGGGACCCTAACAGGTGCTACCACCCCGGGTCAGGGTGGACCTAGGAACACCAGCAATTACGAGGTGATTCAACGCTCCTTAAAGCTTCGTGGTGAGAGGTCTTGTGTCGGATGTCCTTTATCGTCATACCCAGGACCTGCTACGGATTATCCGACACTCTCGATTCCAGAAATTTGCCGAATTAACCGTTTTGTCGAACGTACAGATGTACATATTAATAATCTCTATTATATATTTTTGGTTTTAAAATTGGAAAGAGACATTAACGGACGTTAAACCTATAATAATATCGCTTTTTAATATTTTACTCCATTTTATAAAAAAAAATAATTAATTGACCTGGCATCTCCACTTCAGTCACTTTCTCACCGACTTGACGTGGCTTCTCTCTGTCTTTTCTACAATTGTTCTGATAAGCTTTCCTTGTTGGTGCCTTGACTGCATGAATTTAAGCGCGCTACTAGATTGACGATTAGGTCTCACCATTTTACTGCTGAATTAACTAGACGCAACCGCCACTTCTATTCTAATATTTTCTTTTCTTGTACTCCTCACCAGTGGAACTCCATTCCTATTTCTTGCTTCCCTGCCAACTACAATTATGAAATATTAAATGCATCGCCAACCGCTATCTTCTGTCTTCCTGAAACCTGTTCTTTTATTGCCTTTTCTCCTCACTTCTTACTCATTTTTTTTCACTCCTTTTAACCCTCTGCGTCCTAGTGGCATTATCGCCTTGATTGGGGTGAAATGATTACAAAATAATAATAAATTAATTACTAATTAAGCATGTCTAATATCCTTAGAATCGTTTGATCTGTTAGGAAGTGAAATAAAATCGAAAGAGTAGCGAGGAAATTAAGTGTTCAGCCTTCTCTTTTTACTCGTGTTCATTTTATACAAGACACAAGAGCCGCTCAATGTAGGGGATCACTAAATGGAGAAGTTGTAAGGGCGTACAAGGTGGAAGCAAGGGCTGCATATTCTGAGGATATGCAAGATAGATAACGGTTGACCCTCAATTTGAGGAGGTTAAGATTGTCGTGATCGGAGAAGCATCATCTCGGGAGTCTTAGGAAGAATCTGCATAAGTAGGATTTAGTAAAATATGAAAGGAATAAAGATAATTCGACTCAGTGTATGTGTCGGTCCTAGCCGGGAAAGTCTGCACTGGTGGAACTAAAGAATGTAGTTCACCTGAACATCTACCATGAAAATAGCAATAGAGTCATGAGAAGCTAGCAACAGTTCATCACCCACAAGGTCGAGGCTGGAAATTGAGGAATGTGGTAGCAATACTTCAGTTTTTATTTGATCTGAGTTTTGCAGAGATAGAGCATAGCAGGAGGACTCAGGTATTTTTTTAATCATTTCATATCAAGGGAATAAAGCAACTGAGACGCAATGGGGTTACTAAGAGTGAAAGAAACAGAAAACCTTATTGAGGAGAGATGACGGTAAAAGAGTAAGATTCAAGGAGACACAAGATAACCATTTACGTTGCCTTTAAATTTTTGAAAATAGTAGTCGACAGGAAAGCAACAATCCGGAAGAGAGTTTCACAAGCGAGAAGTGTAAGAGAAGAAACTATCAGCATAGAAGTTACGGTTACAACTAGCAACTTCAATAGTGGAATTATGAGACCTAGCTGCCAATCTAGTACTTAAATTCTCATCAGAACAATTTCCATAAAAATATAGAAAAAGCTACGTTATGGCAGTGGGAAAGTGACTGATTGGGACCGATGACATTTTTTTAAGCAAATCACTCCAAGCAAGGCAGAAGTGCCACTAGTATGCAAGGGGTTACAGAGAGTAAGAGTAAAAAGAGGTGTTCGGGAAAAGAATAAAGAGAAGGGCAAGGATCAAGGTCAAGGCATCAGATGTCGATTGACATTACATTTGGATATTTGAAGATTATAACTATCAGGGAAGCATGTGATAGGAAGTGAGTTCCACTGACGGGGGGTGCGAGAAAAGAAGCTGTTGGAGTAGAAGAGATGGCTACATTTAGTCGTTTCGACAGTGAAAGTGTGGGATCGAGATGGCAACCTAGTAGCACGCTTAAATTCGTGCAGATCGGGAACCAGTGAATGTAGCTCGTCAGAACAGTTGCTATGAATGTACTTGTAGAAAAGACAGAGGGAAGCCACAGCATGTCTGTGAGATAGCGACTACAGAGGGATTCCAGGCCTTTCTTTGGATTTGGAAGAATATATCGATACATAAGAGAAGTGCCAGGCCAGATGTGGCAGCAATATTCGATGCATAGACAAATGGTAGATTTATAAATGTACAAGATAGATTCTGACGTGAAGAACTGTCCCGCACGACACAGTGAACCAACTTTCCTAGCAGCCGATTCAGAAATTGTTTGAATATAATCGTTCTAATTTATGTCGGTAGAAAATGTTACTCTGCTGGAGGTTAGCATCAGCCATACTGATGGAAGGGAAAATAGTTCTCTAAGACGATTAGAGGAGAACAGTTTCGTTTTGGAAGCAATGAAGCGATCTTTTTTCCAGCGTCTTTAGCGATGGATTCTTCCCGTAGACGATCATGGATCTCCACCATTTTTTGTCCCGTGTAGCTCTTAGTAAATTTTATCTTTTCGTTATTTATCCTAAACCCTGTTTCGCCATCCATTTACTCAAGCTCACTAGGTAGGCAATGCGTTGTTTTCCCCTGTCTCTTTTCCTTCAAACACTCCTGTGAGTATTAGATTTTCCAAACCCTCTTTCTTCATTATGTGCTGTAGAATTTTAAACTGTTTTTTCCTGATGTTAAGTATAAATTTCCTTTTTGTTTCCATTTTCTCTAAAACTTTGTTGTTGTTCACATGTTTAATCCGTGGTATTCTCAGCATCCTTCTGTAGAACCACATTTCTCTTGCTTCAAGTCTCTTCTTCATCTTTGAGGAGATTGTCCAACATCCACTGCCATACCGGAAGACAGATATTACTTCACAGTCTAGTACTTTTTTTCTTTGTTTCTACTGTCTTAATACTCTGCTTAGATTTTGGAAGGCATCTTTGGCTATCCCAATGCGCCTTCAGATAGTAATGGATATATAAATTCCATTTAAGGTTCGATTTGACCTATAGACACTCCAATGCCTTCTTGCAAAACATAATGTGTTGGGTTAATGCAATCTTTTGATAAGCAAATTGATTCAATATCGATTTTCAAAATGTCTGTTTTATTTTGTATTTAGTTTCAAAATTTACAATCGATTCAATTTCTAAAGACGTGATTTCTTTGATTTAATTCTTTTCAGATATTCAAGAAAGAGACTTTACACCGCCAAGTAAGGATTAATTCGTCATTTGCAAGAATAAATCGTTATCATTATTTTGCTAATAAGTTAAATACGTTTTTATTTTATTATTTTTATTTTTTATTATTTTTTTAATTTCTGTCTGCCATTTTTATTATTTTCAATTTCATTATTTTATTACTTAAAAAAATATTTCTACTAGTCTCTCTTATTTTTATTTTATTATTTTTTAATATTTTATTATTTTTTTATAGTTTTATTTTCTTTTTTATAGGTTTTTTGCTTTCATTATTTTTATTTTATTATTTTTTATTATTTTGTAATTTTTGTTTTTAATTTTATTATTTTTAATTGTAATTATTTTTAATTGTAATTATTTTTAATTTTATTATTCTCATTATTATTATATTATTCCAATATTTTTATTATTTTTTTTTTATTTCTATTATTTTTATTATTGTTCGTATTTTATATTTTTCTTATTTTTACCATTTTTATTATTTTGTTGTTTTTATCATTTTTTACGTTTATTAATTTTTCTATTCTTAATTTTATAATTTCTATTATTTTTTATTAATTTTATTACTCTTCGATTATTATCCCTAAATAAAACTGACCACTGAATCAAGTTAAGAAATATTCAAATTTTGCATTCTTTTTTTGTCAGAACGTGCACATTGCAATCTTCTAGGCCTCGATTTATGGTCACACTTCAATGGTTCTTGTTTCCTAAGTCCACTTGATTTCAAAAAGGTCACCTGGCACAACAGCAAGACCATTTGTCAAATTTTTGGCGGCCAATTGGCCAGTATACACAGTTTAGCAGAGAACTCATACATCCTCAATACTGTAAGTATTCACTGTGTACACTGGATAAAAAAAGGGCGTGCATTTGGCTTTTAATTGTAAATTCGTTAAAAGCCGCCAATGTCCACCATAAAGCTTGCTTCAGAATTAATATATTAATATTATAATTATTTTGAAATAAATAAATAAATTAGGGTTATTCACTTTACAAATATAATTTGATATACATGGCCTTATCTCCCTTCATAAATCATATCGTTACAACAGAATAGAAATCGATGTATGATGAATATTAAAAATTATTTTCAAATAAGTAAATAAATAAATAAATAAATAAGGGAAACCACTTTATAATTAGCATTTAATATATATCGAGTTATTTCCCTTGAAAAGTAGGATCATTATAATATCGATTATTGCGATGAACCGAATTCAGATCCCACTCGAAATTTATTTATTCTGTAACTTAGAGAATTTTAAAGGTACTGCGCAGACCAAAATACTGCCATGATGTGCCGTTTTTGGCAATGTTACAACAAAGAAGCATAAAAAGACCTAGTTATTGTTACGACCGGCCCTGGGTTGCTGACACCCTAGGAAAGCTGAACTTCAGTGCTTTTACAAGTATAATTGTTTTTAATTTTCACAAAGAGAAAAAACAGAAAGTGTAGAATAACGAGTTTATTGCAATATACAATGTTATATACCTATGAACACTAATGTGCATGTCCTAATCCTCATAAATACGTTGGACACTATTGTAAGGGGGAATCTGCTGTCTAAGTAGTCCACCATTAGTTATTCCTCATTCAGTAACCATCCCTAGATTACAACATACAACTTAACACAAGCGAAAGAAAGCATTCATTATCTTTCCCTAAAACATTTTTTCTACTCTTTAGATCTGCAAATTTTTTCATGGCATTTTCTACATCTATCTTATTTACATGATCATTTTCTATTGATAAAATAACCAAAGAATTTAGTCTTGAGTCTTGGATAACCGCAAGTATGTTTTTTATAAGCTTTAGTTTTGGAAGATTCCAAAACACATGATATTGTGGTATGATGATGTCATCAGCCTTGATGGCACCCTGGGCAACTGCCTGATTTGCCAGTACCTTGAGCTGGCCCTGTATATACTCAAACTGAAAATGTAAAATATCAAGTTTATTACAATATACAACTTAATACAAGCTAAAGAAAACATTCATTATCAAACCTAAAATATTTTCTAGCTTTTAGATCTGCTAATCTTTTCATTGCACTTTCTACACCTGTCTTATTTACATGACTGAATCTTGGACGACCGCAAGTATGTTTTTATAAGCTTCAGTTTACTAAAGCTTCTCTCTCCGGTGGCAACAGGAACGGGTATAGTAATCATTATTCTTAATGAAACCTACAGATTTGGCATGGCATCCTGTAACTTATTAATGTTTATGATCCTAGCGAATTCTATTGGAAGCTTTACATTTCCAGGAAATATTTCTGTTACAATATTCAATTCAGTCAAAAGAGCACATCCATTAATCTCATTATTTTTATTTATTTATTTTTTTATTTTTTATTTTTTTTTTGATACCTTAACTTGTAGTGGGTTGTGTGTATTGTACGCGCCGTGCCTGAACACGTGTATCTCCTGAAATAGGGCCCGGTACAAATGTAGCGAGCTCAAGATGAGTCCACCCAAAAGAAATGTAAAATAAAGCAACCAAGACCAATATATATATATATATATATATATATATATATATATATATATATATATATATATACAAACAATTATATGTGTATTACCAAACAAACGGATATAAATTACAAAAACAATAATGTGTATGTGTAACAAATAATTGTGTAAAGTTTGCGTTCCAAGAAATGCGTGAGTGAATGCTCATACGTACCTGTGTGTGTCTGTGTGTGTGTGTGTCTGAGTATATATGTTTCATGACGTTTTCCCAAGGAAACGCATAGCACCCCACCCACCGCCACCACAAAGGGGAAAACGCAATCTTCTACGAGAGCCTACATTGTCGTAGTATCCACTGAAAATGAAAAGTGAAAGAGGGAAGAAATCGCCAAGTATTTATCGTGTCGGGAGAGCGTCCCCTAGGGACAATTTCGACAGTTAGGAAATTAAGGCGCGGTTAACACCGACAAACTTTTCCTCCAAATCTTGACCTAATTGAGTTTGATTTTATCTGGCAAATATTGATTTGAGTTTGATTTTATCTGGCAAATATTTTAGGTTATTTAAAAATCCCCATGTGCTATTGAAAGTGTTCAACTGTTCAAATCTCTCTGATAAAGAATTCTTTGCCGAGTATTACCTTTAATATTTTTATTTTATTTTATTTATTATCTTCAAATTTTTCCTTTTTATTTGGAAGATCCCAAATACATGACATGGCGGCGTAAAGGTACCCTCTGCCTTGATTGCGCCAAAGGCGACTGCCTGAGTTGTCATTACCTTGATCCGACCCTGGAGTTGTCAGTACCTTGATCCGATCAAGAAAAAGGAACGTGGTTAAAAGCATATTTCAGCATAATGCAATCTTTTTCTTTACCTCTACAAGAATATTTATGCAAAAATTACGTATCGGGATATATAGCAAGTTGTGTTTTTATTCTTCTTGTCTTAAGTGGAACGCCCTTCTATTAAATATGAAAAGTGTCTCGAGACGGAAAATATGATTGTACAGAAAAGAAAAAAAAAGATTTCTAAATCTTTGTGTGTGATCATTACTTTCGTGTGAATGATATTCGCCCTGAAAGGGTCGAGCTGTCTACTGCGCCGTAAGGCTTTTCTGCCACCCAATTATTGATGCTCTTTTATCTGTTGTTTGTCAGTTTTAATTAGTATTCACACTGACCAGAAACTGCTGCCGCTCACTTCAAGCTAATCTTCGTCCTCGTGTGACGTGTCCCCTCAGGACGTAGGCAATCATAGCCCTCCACAATTTCCTGTCTTCTATTGCTTAAATCTACTTAAGCAGTGTCGGAATAAACTTTTTTGAATAGGTTATTCGTATTATATAAGGTTATTATATAGGCTATTCTTATATTAAATAATATTTCATAAAATATAATTGATCATGTAATCAGAATCTTTTTAAAGATGATTATGTTATATTATAGAATAGGATATTTTAATAATTAAGTTTTATTTTTTGAGGAGTATAATTTTATGAAAAAAATATATTATAAAAAAGTATTTTATTTTGTAATCTTAATTTTTTAAAACTAATTATGTTACTTCCTTAAAATAATTAATGTTGTTTTTTGAGTATGATATTTTATAAAAACTATATTTTATGAAAAATATATTATTATATAGAAATATTCTTTTATGAAAATATACTATTTTATAAAAATATTATTTTATGAAAAATTATTATTTTATAAAATATTATTAAATAAAGAATATTTTTTATAAAAATATTATCTTATGAAATAATATTATTAATGAAAAAAATGTTATAAATATTTTTTATAAAAATATTATTTAAAAACAAATTATGCAAAAATATTATTTTATAAAAAAATATTTTATGAAAATTTATGATTTTATACATAAATTATAAATATAATTTAAAACAAAATATTTTTAAAAATGAATTATGAAAAATATTTTATAAAATATTATTTTATCAAAATATTAGTTATTAAAAATATTATTTTAAAATAATATTATTTTATGAAATAATATTTAATGATATAATATTATTTTATAAAAATATTATAAATATTATTTTATAACAAAATATTATTTTTTAAAATATAGAAAATATTATTTTATCAAAAATATTTTATAAAAATATTATTTTATGAAATAATATTATTTTGTGAAAATATATGATTTATAAATACATTATACATATTTTATAAAAAATATTATTTTAGAAATATTATATTGCGAAAAATATTATTTTATAAAAAATATTGTTAATAATATTATTTTATTAAATAATTTTTGATTAAAAATATATTTATAAAATGTAAATATTATTTCATAACGAAATATTATTTTTTAAAATAAATTATGCAAAACTGTTATTTTAAAAAAAAATAATATTTTATGAAAGAAATGTTATTTTATAAAAACTTTATAATTATTATTTTATAAAAAATATTATTTTATAATATTTAATAACATAATATTACATTATAAAAAATATTGTTTTATTTTTTAATGTGAATCTTTTTAAAACTCGTTATGTTACTTTTACAGTTTCACACCTACATGTGGATCGGCATTCATTCCCATTTTTCGAAGCCAAATAACACGTACGTAGCTTTCTTGATATTAATTGGTTCTGATTATTTACCTTTTACATGTAGAAACATCTGGTTTTATATTTAGATTATTTTGAAAATAAACTTAAGATGAGCTTATCCTTTAGTGCCTACAATTTCACCAATACACCAAACTATTTGCCAGCACACTAGTCTATTTTGAGTTAACCGAATTGACACTTCGATATATCGATACGTAAGCATACATCAAAGCCCTCTCTCAGCTTTTCTTCGACCGAACAAATAACCCCATGTTGCATCTCTATACTTGTCCGCGTTGGCGTGCACAACTGGGAAAAGTCCATCGCATCTTCATAAGGCAATGAAAGTTGAAAATAAACACCACGGAGAATAATGAAAAACGAAATCTGCCTCTCCACGATTGTCTATTTTAGGGATTCACTTGCACGGTCTGAGGAGTAGGTAGCGACACGTGGGACAAGTTCTACCATGTTAGCCAAACAGATTTGCTCCTCTATTCAAGAAGCAAGAATTCTCACTTCAGTTACCCTTCTTTCCGTCTCAACATCACGACGCGTAGTTTCCGAACCCGACGGGCAACATGTCTCCGCCAACAGATGGTCCAAGAAATACCTTCAATCACAACTGTAACTGTTTATATAAACCTGCGAATGGAAATCTTCAACGTCCGGTTCAAGTATCACTTGCTCTCAAATGTTTTCATTTATTCATTATTTTGTTCACTTTTGGTCAAGTAGATGTTCGCTTTGAAAACCCGACTTCGCAGATTCTACTGCTGGTCATAAAATACACAAAACACTCAAGTTTGCGATAAAATTATTTACCAGCCTCAAATGAAGTATGCCTCTCTTACAATAATTTACAATGCTGCATAAGGTCCTCAGAAATGGTAACCAACATAAAAATAAATGAAGAAAGGAGAAAATATTTCTCTGAATAGTTTTCAAAGGATAGATACAATTTTCGGAGCAAAGTTCGTGGTAACAGCGAAGAACAGAAGAATCACATCAGCCGAAGAATTTTCCTTGATGTGGGAACGACTTTGATGTTCCTTTCAATTCTCGTGTTGGTAGTCGTCAAATTTCTTGTGTTGTTTTTCTTCCTTGACCGGGTCGACTTGAGTTCATCCAAAAGCTAGAAAATAAACTGTTTGCATAGAATTTACGGCTACATCTAGCCAGCTCAAATGTAAATTGATGGGATATCAACGCCAGTTTAATACTGCGCTTAAATGTGAAAAATATTGGTAGCCTAGCGAAGACCTCATCTGAACAATTACCATGAAAGTATTTATAGAATCACAGAGAGGCAACCTTGCTGCGGTGGGAAAGAGACTGAAACCAAGCTGCCAGATCAGGACCGGTAATATTGCTGATTCTTTTTTTGAATTTTATCAAGGATCTCAAGATAGATAGCAGGACTATATGTGTCAGCAATATTCTAAGAATGGACGAACGGTAGATTTATAGATAAGTATGATAAATTTTGGAGAGAAAAATTGTCTTTCTCGGCACAGTGAATCAACTTTCTTAGCAGCTGTCCTAGCAATGGATTCTAGTCTTTCTACCTCATGTCAGCTGAGAACGTTATCCCAAGAAGACGCAATGAGTCACTTTTCTGGCGGTTAGCATCAACCATACTGGCCCCAAAACAAAGAGGAGTCTCTCAGATGGAGAGATTAGTTTTGGAGAAGTTAAAATTAATTTTGTTCCAGTTAACAACGGACTAGAGGTTGTTAAAGAATGTCTACATGTTTTGCTATCAAGCTTTGCATAACAAAGATGCAATGTTTCTGGACGAGCATATTTGCCCCTGTTTACGAAATGTTTAACACGTGAAAAAGAAAATGGTATTATTCAAAGAATTGATAGTAAGTTAATGTCTCATTAAGTCTTGTTAGCGAAGTGATTTCGCCATTAATCTCATTAACATTGCAAATTAATTCTTCGTGTAAATTACTTCTTTATAATATAATATAAAAGCGGTATATACCTATATATTGTCCCCAAGGACACATGACCCAGTGAATAAAAGCTTTGGTTGAAGCCAGTGACTGAACCTAAAGAGTTGTGAGTTCAATATCTAGCTACAGCAGAGATGGACAAAAAGTTGGAGAGTTTAGTTAAAGGGAGTAACTGATACTGAGACATCTGGAAGAAGCATGGCACGGGGAACTAGAACGATCTAGCCCGGTGGACGAAATAGAGGGTTCAGTTAGAAAGTCCATTCGTCTGAAGTGTTGTGAATATGGTAACAAAGATGAGGACAGCAGTCCGAACGATGTAAATAGTGTAAATAATTACAACACCACATCTCAGAATTACAGACAGATATCAATATATACATGTCTATTTATCCCTGTTTGTCAGCAAAAGAATCAGCCCAGCATAGAAATTAAAAGTTGGAGATACCAAAATCAAACAGAAACCTCATATCAGCCAATAAATGGACACCTGATGATGACCAGAGGGTGCTTGATCGAAACGTTGTCTATAATAACATCTATATCAACCAAGGTGTGAACAATTGTTCGAAATGATACACGTGTATTGACAATGAAAATGAATTACTAAATTATGAAAAAGCCCATCATACACGCTTGTGAAAATTAACTGAGACAATCGCTTTAGTTTTCTTTCTTTCACCATACGGCCAGTTTTAGACCCACTGAAGTAACAGAGTGTAATCGATTTCTATTTTTTCCTCAGATTAGGTCATTTTTAGTGGTGTGCAGTAATATGAATCTGTTTTCGGGGTGGATGATGACAATTGTTTGGCCTTGAAAAATATTGAGTCATTCGTGATTGTATCAGATTTTTATCATGTCCAGATACTATTGTCTCAACTGTCGATTAGTTGTCCCACGGGCATTTTCTGCGATGGACGTTACTCCAAGGAAGCGTACGAAAATTGTGACGCTGCACGAGCATAATGGCAAGCCTTACGCGTGAGAAAATCAGTATACTCTCGACTGGCTCGGAAACTCTCCTGATTTAAATCCAGTCGAGGATCTGTGGTCAATCTTCAAGGAAAGACTTCGTAGAATGGACATACGAAGTACTAACATGTGCACTGGGTCATGTTTCATTGGAAAAATACGAAAATAAAGTAAATAACGGAATTATTCGTTTTGTTTCAATTAATTTGCACACGGGTGTATAACCAAATGGTAAAAACCATCTGACATTGAATACAAAATGCTCTAAAAATACACATTAATCCCTTTTGAGATGGCGGCATAGTGGATATAGGAGTTGACCATACATGTTGCTGTGAATTCAATAGTGTAAAAAGGAATGAACAACGAATACCACAAGGATAAAATATCACAAAAATCAACAGCCAATCGATGGACACCTGATGGTGACTAAAGAGTACTTTGTCGAAACGTTGTCTATAATAACGTCTATATCAAACAAGATGAGAACAATAATACAAGTATATTGACAAATACTCATCTCTAAAATGAAATACTAACATGAAAATAACTAGTAATATTATATCCATAGAAAATATTTTTACAAAATAAAGATGACAATAAAGAAGATAAATTTAGAAGACAAGGAATAACTTCAACATCGTAAACAACAAGAATTAGAAGCAATAAATGACGTGAAGAAAATTTGGTTTGGTTTGGTTTGTTTCATTTACGGCATATCAAGCTCAATGGATTATTTAATGTCGAGAAAATTTTTATTACTGGTAATATTTTTTTTTTCAAAAATGTATTGCTGGTAATAATGTTTGCCTTCAAAAAATTATTGCTCGTAATTTTTTGACAAAAACGTATTGCTGCATTAAAACCTATTTTTACACTTTCATTTGACTCCGCTTCCGGAGGTGGGGGGAGTTAACTATTTGCCCATAGCTGAGACCCTAACAGGTGCTACCAGTCCGGGTCAGGGTAGACCTGAGAACACCAGCAATTAAGAGGTCGTTCCACGCTCCTCAAAACCTCCTGATCAGGGGCCTTACTGTTGGACGTAGATTATCGTTTTACCAGGACGCGGATGTAGTTTATCGTCATACCCAGGACGAAGAAAATTTGGTAAACTGGCAAGAATATTGACATTTCATGAAAAATCTGCAAATTCTTTAGTCCCAGCCAAAATTCATCAGAACGCTTGTACTAACAAAACAGATATATCGTCATTTAATAGTTTCTAATTGAAATCAGTTAAAGAAAATCTGGAAGAAGAAAACAGAAACTCCAAAATGTACAGACTATGCAACACTTGCCTAATCCGTATTAGAACAAAATCTAAAGAAGAATCTGCAATGTTATAGGTTCTGACATGGCACCTCGGTTTAAGTCATTTCCCCACCGCTATGACATAGTTTTTTCTCTCGCACTTCTCTCTTGTGGAATTCTCTTACGGCTTATTGCTTTCCAGTCAACTTTGATCTTCAATTTTTTTAAAATTCAAATGCAATGTTAAATGTTATCTCCGGTTTTCATAATTCATCTTCTTTTATTGTCTTTTCTCCTTAATAATGTTTTCTTTTCATATTCTCTGGCACTCAGTAACCTCTTGCATCTTAGTGGATTTATTGCCTTACTTCGGATGATATGATTAAAAATACTCTTTATTAACATTCCGAGACATAAGCTCCAGAAAGAAAGACAGAAAATATAAAATTTGTGCAGGTATCGATATAATGAAAGCAAAGATTTTGATTCCTAACCGTAGCCAACGGAATAGTTTTGCTGGTGTGAATGCTCTCTTCGGGTGTGTAGATACTGTATTGATTAGCGACTGGGAAAGTGGAATCGACAATCTGAATTCGAAATCCGACCGAACTAACTTCCGCACAAATACTCTTGGGAATCGCATTAATCTATATCTTCTCTCCCTAGATATGGATTAAATAGAAAGACAGACTTCGCCTTCTTGCCTTGAGGTAGTGACCGTCGCAGGATAGGAAAACACTGAATTCAAAACCGGCCTGGATATTAATATGTTATAGATAGAATTAATACCGGATTTTTATAAACCTATAATTAATATTAATTTTTTTATAAACCTCTTTTTTTTGTAATCATTTCACCCCCAAGCAAGACGGGAGTGCCGCTAGTACCCAAGGAATGAAAGTGAAGGGAAAAAACTGTGTATAGGGAGGATTGAGGAAAGGACAACAGATGAACGGGATTCAAGAAAATAGAAGATGGTAACTGATGTTGCATTTAAATTTTGTTAATCATTTCACCCCCAAGCAAGGCGGGAATGCCACAAGTAAGCAGGGGATTACAGGGAGTGAAAGTGAGAGAAAAGACTGAGTATAGGGAGGATTGAGGAAAGGACAAAAGATGAATGGGATTCAAGAAGACAGAAAATGGTGATTGATATTGCATTTACATTTTTGAAGATTGTATTTATCAGGTTTTTTACTTGCTTAAGTAAACGGAAGGGAGTTGCACAGATGGGAAGTGCGAGAATAGAAACTGTTAGAATAAAAGTGTCAGTAAATGGGTGGAACGTAGATTTTTTTTTAAATTATTGCTGCATTTATTTTTAGAAACCTATAATTAATGTGTTTTTATTTTTAAAATTAATACCAGATTTTACGGTGGGCATTAATGCGTTAACTAAAATATACAAAATAAAAACTACTATATTTATTCAAAATGCCAGAAATTCTATATTTGAATCAAAAACCGAAACGAAGGAGAATTATATGTTTCTAATATTTTCTCGGTTTTGTTTCTATCAAAAAAAGTAACAGCCGCGTACAATTGTTCCACTCTAAAACTGTTCCACTTATTAAAAAAAATCCGACTTCTTTGTTTCTGTGTGGCGTGTATGGTGATTTTCTAAGCGTAGCTTAAGTGCGGCACAAGGCCGTATGCATGGGTCATTCAGTGGAAATCAAACAAACAATTCAATTGTGATTGTTCTAGAATTGTTCTTATTAACCATTATTCCACGTCAAGATATCCTGTTTGAGGCGTACGACTTGCAATGTCGACTTACTTCTAGATAATAGCTGTCACCGCCTATACCCCTGACAGATACTTTTTTTTTCTGCAAAAGCCCTCATTTTTACCAATTCTTAAGTCACTAGACATTCAAATCTAGAATTCACACTTGTTTCTAACACCGTCTTAATTATAAGATATTGTGTTGGACAAGCTGAAAACTGATTGCATTCCTTTTTACTTTTAAAGAATACAAGGTCGCCATATACACTGGACCGCACTCTATACAAATGAATATGATCGGTTTAATATTTATTTTGCTTCTATCGATTATTGATGCAAGGAGTTTATCCCGAAAGTAACTCAGACCGTCACAGCGCCTCATCTAATTGGACTCTCGAGAACTGGTAATGTGTTGCATGATCCGACGAGTCACAGTTCCAACTCTTTAGGGCTGATGGTAAAGTTTGGGTGTAACGCAGACCCCCATATAGACTTCAGTTATCAACAAGGCACCGTGCAAACTGATGATGGTTTCATAATAGTGAGTGGCCGGTCCACATGGTTTGGGTTTGGTCTACTGGCTCGTCTGAATACGTCATTAACCGGTGATCACCATATTGCCCTGCATTGTGACCTTTTGCACCCATACATGGACTTTATAAATTCCTATTGCCCTGTCAGCGGGGCCGACAATACGCCAACTCCATCCGCTGCAGAACAACTGCTTTGAGATTATTTTAAACGTTTGACATTATAATATTTACCACAAACTGCAACTTATTTTCAATGCTAGTTTATCATTTTTCTTTTACATATCGCCGAATTCATATAATTATTTGACTTTTCTTTTCCAGGTGGCTTGATGGAAGTGTAATTGACTTCACCAACTGGGATGAAGGCGAACCTGAAAACATTTATGAAAAGCCCTGCACAGCAATTGTTCCAAATACAGGTTTAAATTAACTTTTTTTTAGGGAGAGGTATATTTTGGAGCAACTGTTTAGGCGCTAAGAAAATTGTTTTATTTTTCAGGAAAAGATTTTATTTCGTGTATATATCTCTGAGATGAGGTAGTATGATTACTTACATTATTTACATTATTCGGACTGTCATCCTCATCTCCATTGCCATATTCACAACGTTTCGGCCTCTATATCTCTGAGATGAGGTATTATGATTACTTGTATTATTTACATTATTCGGACTGTTATCATCATCTTCATTTCCATATTCACAACGTTTCGGCCATTGTACGCTCTGGCCTTCTTCAGGAGACGAGAATAACCTGAAGAAGGCCGCATTTACAACGGCCGAAATGTTGTGAATATAGCAATGCTGATGTGGATAACAGTCCGAATGATGTAAATAATGTAAGATTTTTATTTTATTTCTTTTTTATTTTGGAGATTTATTCTTTATTCTACAAAGATATGCCAAGAGTGATGGGTTAGCTGTACGTAAAGAAAATAGCATGTGGCGCTACCGTACTTTACCCTCGTAAAAATGTGCAGTCATAACAGGCAAGCCAATGTGGACACCGTAAATACTGCTAGTAGCAAGAATTCGTGAATTATTGGAGTTAAAACGGGTACATATAATGGGTGTTAGATGGATGGGTCTTACCCTTTATGACATTATATAACTGATCACCCGATCTATAGGATCGCATGATAGAAGGCTCACCGTGAACAGCGCAATGGGGTCAACCACGAGTCCTTAATGATCATGAATAGATGCATCTGGTAGGTCTGTGGTATGACAAGCAAAACTGATTCAATTTATATCCTTATTCAATGCAGTGGGTTCCAGGCGCATACCCAGCAAGTCGGTTCCATACGAGCAGAAGACACCCCCCACCCATGATACTCCTGTTAACACCACTACACCAGAGACAGCGCCTCTGAACTTATGACCTCGCTAATTTAACCCTTGAGAACTGGTAATGTGTTACAAGGTCCGACGAGTCACAGTTCCAACTGTTTAGGGTTGATGGTAGATTTTGGGTGTGGTGCAGACCCCATATGAACCAGTTATCAACAAAGCACCGTGCAAGCTGGTGATGGTTCCATAATGGTGAGAAACGGGTCCACGCAGATCGGTTTGACTGGTGATTGCTAAATACACTGCATTTGCACCCATTTATGGACTTCATGTGCCCTATTGCACTGTCAGCAAGGCCTAGAATACGCCGATTTCACCCCTTACTATTATTAAAAGGTTTCACATTATTATTATTATTATTATTATTATTATTATTATAAATCCCTTGCTATTATTAGAAGGTTTCAAACTCATATATTAATACTAAATTGCACATACTGTAAAAAATGACAGTATATTTTTGTAAAGACGTTAGGTTTCATATGTGAGTTTTTAAATATATTTTTCAGTTATTAATTTACAGTGTTTCTGGTGGATCAGTTTATTATTTAATGAAAAAAGAAAGCCGACCCTCCACTTTATTCATATTTATACGAGTTTATACATATTGTCAAAAATGCCAGCATATTGTGTTAAGCCATTACTATTATTATTAAAATTTTTCTCTATTCTCTTTGCAGGCAAATGGCGCACTTTCAGTTGCTATAAAAACTTTCCTTCACTTTGCAAAAGATATGAAAAAGATGATACTATAAGTGTTAAACCAACAAAATCTATGACAGGGGGCTGTCCGAAGGGTTTTATGGCTTATGGTAAGTTACCCGAAATATTGAAAAATCATCAATTTCAGTTTCGATAATTTGATCTGAAATAGACTATTTTTCAAATGGTTTTTTAACTATTGATAGCTTGCATTTTGTAGTGAATAAGTTTAAAAAAGTGAGAACGGTAGAGAAAAAAACTGGATCAGGACATGAAGAGGGATCATCATTTCAACTTAGAGCTAAAAAGATCAATTAGAAAAGATCCAACACAATCCATACGACGTTTGGCACATGAGAGAGGAGTTTCACCTATTACAGTCCAAACAGCAGTGAAAATAGACTTGAAAATGAAATCGTATGTTAAACGTGTGAGGCTCTGATATTGACCACTTTATCCGAGGAATATAGCATACCTTAAAACTATATTCCTTCATTCATATATATATATATATATATATATATATATTCTTGATGTAAGCATTGTATTTTGGCTAAGTCGGGCTTTTGTTACCTTAAAAATTGATGTTTGGATAACGGTTATTGTCACGGAAAGTGGAACCGGCGACCTGCGTTCAAATTCTGACCGAGTCTGTTTCGTTGAGTTTCGTACTAATGCCCTTGGAAAAGGCATGACATCTTACTCCGATTGTACGATATATAGCGCAATAGACTGTGTTCTTTCGCTTTAGTAGGGCAACCAGTCTAAGATAGGGATAAATCTGAATTCAAAATCTGCTTGAAGATGGATGGTCACCGTCAGACTATAGCATCAAGGCAGTACATTTAGTACCACTAAAGCCCTAACAGGTTACGCAATTATCAGTAGCCAAGCCTATTATATGTATAATTGTAAATGTTATCATAAAAATGCATTTTATTATAGAAATGCATTGTAAAAATAAAACTATAGAAAACTAAGAATAAACTGTCAGGATTTAAGGTAATCGTTACTGGCATAAAACCTTTGCTTAGAATATTCCTGCCACATATGGCCCTGGTGCTCCTGCTATATATCTAGAAATCCTTGATGAAATCCAAAGAAGAATCAGCAATATTATTAATCCTGACCTGGCGTCTCGGCTTCAGTCACTTTCCCACCACCGTAAAGTTGCCTCCCTTTGCCTTTTCTATAAATAATTTCATGGTAATTGTTCGGATGATGTCTTCGCTATGGTGCCTAGAATCTTCGATTTTAAACGCAGTACTAGACTGGCAATGATCTCTCATCAATCTACAGTTGAGCTGAGTAGATTTTCTTTTTTTCGTTCACTTCTCGCCTGCGGAACTCCCTTCCAGCTCTATGCCTGGATGGAAGACACTCACCCCTGCAATCGGGGCTAGGGCTTAGTATTACTTGAACATCCCCGAACCAAACAAGAAGCGATAAGAAGGCCGAGCCTCGATGGAGACCGCAATAAAAGCGGCATTTTTCAGACGCGCAGTATCAAACAACGGAAACCGAATAAGGCAATCGCAAAAAAATCAATAAAATAAAATCATCTACTGAATTAATTTTAAATTATCATTAAGAGAAATGTTCGTAAGATGGGGATTGGCTAGTTGTTATTATTTTAGAATAATTATTAAGGGAAATGTTCGTAAGATGGGGATTGGCTAGTTGTTATTATTTTAGAATAATTATTAAGGGAAATGTTCGTAAGATGGGGATTGGCTAGTTGTTATTATTTTAGAATAATTATTAAGGGAAATGTTCGTAAGATGGGGATTGGCTAGTTGTTATTATTTTAGAATAATTATTAAGGGAAATGTTCGTAAGATGGGGATTGGCTAGTTGTTATTATTTTAGAATTATTATTAAGGGAAATGTTCGTAAGACGGAATCTGGTTAATTCATTATTAATTGGGACTTATTTTTTTAAAAATCAAGTACAAGCATAAGCTTTGGACCCCACTTTTGAGTACGGGAAGGCAAAATCTTTTTGTTTTTTTAAATCCCATTTGAATTGGAATAGATTTACGCAGAATTGCAGTGTCAATTCTCTAACAAATACAAAAACTATTTAATACAAATTCATAAAATATGCAATGAAGCACGCTCTACTTTTTTCAGCTCGAAGTGAAAGAACATAAAAATAACATTTAAATCTAAGCATTTGCAAATTTTATGCTAAAATTATATCAATTTTTAAAATTTATTTTTAGTTTGCATGAATTTTACTGGAAACAAAAGTGCAAATATCGATCTTCCACAAAATGGTTTGCATTTGAATGCAAGTGCATTTACAGCATTTAAGTTAATGCATGCATGCATGATGGCTGCGATTCGATTTCAAGTAATGTCATCGCTTGATTGATCTTCAAATATGGGCTGCGCAGATGTGGCTTTTTAGCCCTGCTATGGATTTACACTCTCTTCTGTAGATGCGGCAACGTTCAGTGTCACTTTCAGTAGGTGTCACAATAATATTTTGGTGAACCTTCAAGTGACGTTTTATTCCACGAAGTTGGGCATTATTCTTTTACGCACGTTGTAAATAGAAATGCTGTATGACGTGTAGATAATGACTTCTTCCCGCTCTACTAGATTGGCAATTTACTGTTGAAATATCTCGATGCAACCTTAAGTTCTATTCTCAAACTTCTCGCCTTTGGAACTCTCTTCCAGTTTCTTGCTTTACTGTCAACCATAATTTTCAAAAATTTAAGTACAACATCAATTGCCATTTTCTGTCTTCTTGAATTCTGTCCATTTATTGTCCTTTCACCTCATTCTAGTCTCCACAATTTCTTTCAGTCTCGGTAACTCCTTGCGTCTTAGTGGCATTATTGCCCTTGCTTGGGGTGAAATTTTATATATATATATATATATATATATATATATATATATAGGATATATAACACTAATATTCCATGGTTATAATTTTATTAAACTGGAATCGTAATTACGATCCAATTCATTCGATCGTGATTACGATTCAATGTAATAAATTATAACCATGGAATATTAGTGCTTATTTTATATTATATTCTTACTCTGTCCTGACATTGAGTTCTACCTGGATTCTATCCTCTTGGGAATTTATTTATATATATATATATATATATAGGACTGTTCCCCACGAGCCACGACTACTGTCCTGAAGCTGCTCCACACACACACATATATATATATATATATATATTCAGTTATGGATATGAGTTTTGACCCTAGGTTTCACGATTTTGCGATCATCAGACAAACTCCTTAGTTTGTCTGATGATCAAAAGCGTGAAACCCAGGGCCACTAACTTATATCCATACAACTGAATATGTTAGCTCTATCACAGATATTGAGCACTTTCCAATAAGTACTGCGCATATAAAATAAATTATATATAAAATATTATTCTTATTACCTATATATATATATATATATATATATATATATAGAGAGAGAGAGAGAGAAACAAAAATCACTTAACTATATACACATTCACCTACAATCTTCAAAAATTTAAGTGCTACATCAATTTCCATCTGCCTTCCTGAATTCCGTTCTTCGAATGTCCTTTCTCCTAAATTTGCATTCTCTTCCACTTCCAATAATCCCTTGCGTCTTAGTGGTATTATCACCTTGCTAGGGATGAAATGTTTATATATATATATATGTGTGTGTGTGTGTGTGCAAAAAAAAAACACTTAAATATATATACATTTACTTATAATCTCCAAAAATGCAAGTGCTACATCAATCGCTATATTCTGCCTTCCTGAAATCTGTTCTTTTATTGTCCTCTTTCTCATTCTCTTTCTTTCCCCGTAACCTCTTTCGTTTTAGTGACATTATCGCCTTAATTGGGATGAAATGATTAAAAAAAATGTGGCATCTCTGATGTTTTTATTAGGCCTTTACTACTTAGACGTTCATTAGACTTTAGATCAAACTCTGTGCCAACATAATCGGGTGGGGTAGGGGTTTTATTAACAGCGAGTCGTTTGCGAATATATCCCTCGAGCTTTTCATGCTCGGCACGATTCTGTTGATTTACTATTTATGCACTGCCTTCGTCCAGGATTAGTGATCTTGAGCAAGGTCTCCCCAATCATTTTGAAAGATGTTGGCCTTCTGTAGTTTGTTCTTAACTAAATCTTTATGCATCAATTTCGATTTGTGCGCTGATCTTTTCCCTTTGACCAACTAACGGTACAGAAACTGCTTGGGGACCCTATCGTCCTTCCTCCTGATCACATGACCACGTGACCATTGCAACTGGCACTGAATTACCAAAAGCTCTATACAGATAGACTGACTGCATTTGAGGATATCAACGTTACCCACGGATATGTACAAACACATATACATACGTACATACATTTATAAAGAAGTAATGGATTTTTTAAAATTTATTAATCCGACAGAGTTTACCACATAAACGTTATCTTTAGTAGATACCCACATTTGAGTAGACGCTCCGTTTTTATTTCTAAGCAGTATATTTATTTATTTTCGTCTTTGACTTTGTCTAAAGCCCGTCTGATATAACGACAGTTCCTCATGCTCGGGGGAACACGAGTTCAGATCCTGTCGGAGGGATAATTTTTCGTAAAAATTCAGCCTGCTAGACGAAAAGAAATAAATATACTTTTTAATAGATAAACGGATTGTCTAATTAAATATGGCTGTCCACTAAAATAACGTTTAAGTGATAAAAATACGTCAAGAAATGAGGCAAAATAGAAAAGCTTTTTAATGACAATACGTTTCGTCTTTGTGTGTTAGGTTCACGTATTCAGGTCAGAATGAAAGACAAAACTATATTTTTTTTTTCCTTTGATTTGTTTTTTACGGTTTATCAACTTTTTAGATGTTATTTAAAACCAGAAAACACTTTTAGATTTTAAGAATATTTTGGAGATAATAATTATTTACTGATGCAAGTTCTACTAATTAACCTATAGATTGGGAAGAAGAAGTGAGTTCATACCTTTTCCAAAGAACTTGAATTGAAACTCAGCTCACTGATTTCCAATTCCAAGCTGTTATCCATTACACCACCCGCACATCCAAACTTAAAATACCTTGTATTCCCAAGTGGTCACTCATCTAGGTAGTAACAAGGCTCTGTGTTGCTTAACTTCGGAGAACCGGTGGATCAACATAATATGGCCGTAACCCTTGAGTTACATAGGAAAATGGTATTCTGGAAGCTAATGGTAGGAAATATTTGTTATTTTTAGATTCAGCACACCAAATTTGTTCAGAATTAGTCCAAACATTCCAGGTACAATTCCCCTACCACCAAATTTAAAAGTTCTGTGTGATTTTTAGAGACGTTTAGTAATTTGTTAAGTTAAAAATACCTTGAAAATTTCGATAATCCTGTATTTGTAAATTTATGTCCAGGATCAGTCGAAAGATCATTTTGAATTAGTTGGTTCACTGTGTCATGCTAGACATTTTTTCTCATCAGAATCTATCTTTACATTATTCACATTGTTCAAACTGTTGTCCTCATCTTTATTGTCATATTCACGACGTTTCGACCATTGTACGCTCCGGTCTTCTACAGGTGATTGAAATTATGAATTGAACCCATTATTTAGTTTCTTATTCTTTTTTGCTTAGTGAGACATCAAGATGTCATTCAAAAAATGTATCAGTTTTAAATAAACCATTGAAAAAAAAGAAGCTTAAGCTTATTATATCTTTATATAATATCTGCTTGTTGTTAGTGTCTAGTTTAGCATCTTAATAGTGCTATACGAGTTTTTTATATATTAAACAAATTTCACCTTAGATCATCCGCTCATAAAAATTACAACAATGCCAAAAATAGAACTAAAAAGTTTTGCTTTTTTGGCAAATCTTACATCATACGTTTCAAACCACCATATAATAGAAATGTCAAAACAAATATGAGTAAATTTTAAAGTCATAGACAAACACCTGCCATTAAAATATCAAAGTCATAGACGAACATCTGTCATTAAAATAGCAATCAAAATCATTGACAAACATCTGCTATTAAAATGGCAATCAAAGTCATAGACAAACATCTGCCATTAAAATAGCAAAGTCATAGACAAATATTTGCCATTAAAATAACAATCAAAGTCATAGACAAATATTTGCCATTAAAATAGCAATCAATGTCATAGATAAACATTTCGCAGAATCAAACAAAATTCACATAATATTAACCAGAAATTCTCTAAAAGTTATTGTTGTTCATGGTATTCTCAGCATTTACCGGTAGAATGATATTTAACCTGTATGGTGTTAACCACTGAAAATGAGAAGAAAAGGATGGGCAGTGGTCAAGATTTAAGTCAAATAAAGTAGATAAAATACGGCAATTATATTTATTATATCTATATCGTCCATTCAACACTCAGTTTCAAATGAAAGAAACCATTTAACTTAGGATAGAATTTGATCATTCTTAAGATGAACAATAGCTAAAAAAACAGTTGGAGAAACAGACATTTGTTAATTTAAAACATAACAAGACATTAAAGGAATTTACTTTAGAACCAAGACTCTTAGAATTCGTGCCCAATATAAAAATTATGCCATTTTACATCTTATAAAAATCATGCCATTTGAATTTTACTCTTCTGGTGCAGTGCTGATTTCCTATAAATTCATTGTTGATTTTACTAAAGAAAACCATTTCATATGATTTTATAATGGAAATGCATTGAAAATTAAAGAAAGAAATTTTGTATTTTTCTAATAATCCCCATCATATTGAATAATTATAATTATTACATCTCGCCATATGATTGGTTTTTTTTAATTCAATTTAAATAAACTATAAGTCATTTAAGGTAGCCGACATATTCATAATATTGAAGTCAACCATTGGCAATCATTTGCACAAATTGTCTTCTGTTTAAATGAAATGTAAAACAGATTTTTTTTTAATGTATTTGATCATTTGTTAAGTATCCGAGCCCTTGAGTGGTCGCTTTATTTTGAAAAATTCCACAGATAAAAGGGAAATAATCATATTATACATTCCACAGACAGATTTCCTCAATTTTAGTTAGATTAGCTGCTAACTAGATGCTAAAATTGTTTCTAATATTCTTAAATTCTGTGAGCAGTTTTATGTATACTGAATTTTATCACAAAAATTGTTCTCAGATTGAGTAACATTGATGAGTCAGAATTCGCTCTGAAAATAAGTTTGGAATGTATAAAAGGTTTTCTCTTTAATCTTTTGAGGGAATATTTTTTACCTTCCATTACTATGGCTGATGCTAACCTCTCTGGCTAACGTTTTTCCGTTGACGTGAAGTGGAAAAATTACATTAAATCTATAACTAAGTCTGCTACTAAGAGAATTGGTTCACTGTATCGTGCTAAACAATTTTTCTCACCAGAATCTTGCAACTTTATAAGCCTACCATTCGTCAGAGTATAGAATATTTTGTTGCCACATCTGGTCTGGTGCTTCTGCTACAGTTCCCTCCAAAAGTGTTGGAATGACAATGCCAATTCCTTTGTTTTTGTTGTTCACTGAAGATATTTGGGTTTAAAATAAAAAGATGAATACGAGACTTCAGACTTATGAGAATTTCAGCTTTTATTTCCTGGTATTTCCATTTTAGATGTGTTGTATCAGACCACCCCATTTTTAGGTGAGCAAGGAACAGGTAGTCTTAAAATAAATAACAGTTAATATTTGGCTGCATAACCCTTGCTTGCAATAACTGCATGAAGTCTACAGCCCATTGACATCACCAAACTGTTGCATGCTTCATTTCTGATACTTTTCCAGACTTTTAATGCAGCATCTTTAGCTTCTGGTTTGTTTTGGGAGATTTCTTCCTTCAGTGTCCTCTTCAGGAGATGAAATACATGCTCTATTGGGTTACGGTCCAATGATTGATTTGACTAGTCTAAAACAGTTCACTTTTTCCCCTGATGAAGTCCTTTGTTGTGTTGGCAGTATGTTTTAGGTCATTGTCCTGCTGCATGATCAACTTCCTTATGATTAGTTTGGATGAATATCTCTGTAAATTAGCAGACAAAATGTTTCTGTAGACTTCTGAATTCATTCTGCTGCTACAGAAATGAGTTACATGATCAATAATTATGAACGAGCCTGTTTCAGATGCTACCTTTCAAACCCGATCCAAGATACTGTCTCCACCATGCTTCAAAGATGAACTTGAATGCTTTGAATCATAAGCAGATTTTTTCTTTTTCTACACTTTGGCCTTTCCATCACTTTGATAGAGATTAATTTTGGTCTCATCAGTAAATAAAACTTTCTTTTGAAACTTTTGTCACTCATCTCTGTACTTCCTTAAAAATTCCAATCTGACCTTCAGATTCTTACAGCTGATGAGTGGTTTGCATCTTGTGGTATGGCCTCTATATTTCTGCTCACAAAGTCTTTTTTGAAGAGTGGATTGCTTTTCTCCCATAGACAGATCTCTCTCGTCTTCATGTTGCTTTATCCTCTTTAACAAGAAATGTAGTCTTTACAGATGAAAGCCAAAACTAAAACCAAGAGTAGTCATTCAGAACTATTTAATGTTTAAACAATCAATCAAAAAGGCAACACCTGGACAACAAGAAACACCTGTCAGTCACATGTTCCAATAGTTTTGCTCACTTAAAAAATGGGTGGGTTCAAACAAAAGGTGATATATCCTAAGCTGTTTAACGCATCTAAATGTAAATAGCAGGAAATAAAAGCTGAAATTCTTAACTCTTGTTTAATATTCATCTTTTGGTCTTAATCTTAAATGCCGCCAGTGAACAACAAAAACAAAGGAATTGGCCTTGCCATCGCAATACTTTTGGAGGGGACTGTCTGTATCTAAAGATTCTGGAAAAAATTCAAAGAAGAATCTATAATGTCATTATTCCTGACCTGGTATCTCAGCTTCAGTCACTTTCTCACCGACATGTTGTAACTTCCCTGTCCCTTATCTATAAATATTTTCATGACAATTATTCTGGTGGGCTCTTTTTTGCCTCAACTACATGGATTTAAGCAAGACAGCTTGCTTCATCATTTTACTATTGAAATTGCTAGATGTAACTATAAGTTATATGTTAACAGTTTCTTCTCTCGCATGTGAAACAATCTTCAAAATTTAAATGCAACATCAATCATCATCTTCTGTCTTCATTGAATCCTGTTCTTTTATTGTCTTCTCTTAATAACGAGTTTCTTTCATTACGTCTTAGGGTCTTCATAGACTTGCTTAAGGTGAAATCTTTAAAAGAATTAGATTAATCTGTTGACTCGTTTTTAAGTCACTTTTAATCATTTGGTTGACCTTTTCTTGCAGGTGCAAAGTGCTTTTTGATTGGAGGAACTGGTCAAGGTGAACAACTGTCGTGGCAACAGGCAGAATCAAAGTGTAGAAGTTACGGCGACCTTTATGGACTTGCCAGTATCAACAATGTCTTTGAACAAGGTTTAAGAATATAACCTATTGTTATTGCTCCCTGTTTTTTTTTTAGAAAATCTTTGTAAAAATGTTTTAATCTGTTACCCGACCCCGCTCATTTAATTTGTATGACATTTCGAGAAATTCTTTTTTGTATTGCGTAATGTTTTTTATTTATGTAACCTAGGGAAGGTTACTGAATAGAATAATCACACGAAGGTTGATAATGAACGATAAAAACAACACATATAAGATTCGCCGGCGGCCCGTAGAAGTATTCAACTGCTAGAAGTAAATTCCACAATGAATCTCCAGCTGCAGACCAACATACAGTATTTACTACCGTATATATGTGAATGGGGACATACCCATTATCGTCCGTAGGTATGCTACAACAATTTGTTATAAGGACAAGTCATCAGAGAAATTAAATCATCATGATTTTTTGAACCCAAGTTACAATAACAGGATCCAGTTGAAAATCTTCCCTGAATCGTAAAATAAAAAATGCGATAAAACTAAGACATTTTGATTTGAAAAGCTGTTAATTACTTATTTGATTTAATTACTTATGATTTATGATTTACTTACTTTTAGGAATAAAATATAATATGGACGCTATTGTCTTAAAAGAAAATTTTCAAGTAATTTTTACAAGAATTGTTTACACTTTTGTTTAAATTTTAATTAGAATAATTTATAAACTTTTAAATCTTTTAAAAATTTGTATTAATTTGTAGTGTCCAAGTGATATTGCTATTAAAAGACAACTCTATTTGCTAATCATAAATGAAAAAAAGCTTCTTACAATTCAATGACCCCAGTATTTTAAAAAAAATAATTGTGTGTATATGTGTGTGTGTGTGTGCGCTGCGCGTGTGTCTGGGAAAACGTGTCGCTTTTGATAAATACAGTTGTACATCCATAACATTATCAGAAAATAAGAGAGGTAACGATAATAAATTTTAAATTTATTGGTAATTTTCAAGTTAAGAAAAAATATACAAAAAAAGGTGTGTATGTTGTATTCGTCAAGTAATTTCTTTCAGTTGTGACCCCTTTACTTAAATTTTCAAAACATCACACAACTCAGTATTAAAAAAATAATGCTTTTCTGCTAAATTTTAAACTGAAAGTGATATTTGTTTCAAATCAGATTGATTCAACGGTAAATCAGCTAATTTTCCTCAAATAATACCCCAGAAAAGTATATTTTACTTTTGATAGATTAAAAAAAATAAATAAAAAGATAGTTGATTTGTGTTGACAGATCTGTCAATATGGATGAATTTATAGATATCTTGGTAAAGTAGAAAAGATTCCAATGAATTTAAATTTGTTTAAAAAGTATAAGAACAAAAAAAAAAGCATATAAGATAAGGAAATATAAATTTCAAAAAGTGGGTCTGACTTTGACATTGATTGACCCCTGCAAGAGTTAAAGTGTCGTTAGATCCACTAAAGTCGACTATCTTTCTTGTCCTATAAGAAGTATTGTATTTCAATTAATAGCCTCGGAGAAAGAAATGACTTCAGGAAAGCAGTCGAGTTTTAGGTTTTGTACAAAAACAACTGTAAATTTGTAATCAATTCTCAACATTAATCCGTGGTTCTTTATATTGTAGCATTTATAACTCAAATGCTGTTCAAGTTCCCATCATCACTTTGGATCGGGATGCGTGTTAAGGAAGCTACGTTAACCTGGGAAGACAACTCTGAGATTTCTTTCATCCACCTACCGAATTCGCAGATCGAGCAATTATTTCAACTAAAATATGAGGTGATACATTTAACTATTTCATTGGTCACTTTTTCAATTTCAGGTGTCTCGACGTGATATTATGGTTAATGACAGTGGTACTAAAATTACTATTAACTAGAAAGTCCCATACTCACTAGGTAGCAAGTAACATTAAATAACCCGAAAAAGATGTAATGTAAAATCAACAAGTCTATCATAAAACCAGTTTCCAATGCATTTCCATAATAAAATCACCCCAACTCATTTTCATAGTAAAATCACTTTTCAATACATTTTCATAGTAAAATCCCTTTCCGATGCATTTTCATAGTAAAATCCCTATCCAATGCAATTTCATAGCAAAAATCCTTTTACAATGCATTTTCATAGTAAAATCCCTTTTTAATGCATTTTCATAGCAAAATCCCTTTCCAATGTATTTTCATAGTAAAATCCATTTCCAATGTATTTTCATAGTAAAATTCCTTTGCAATGCATTTTCCTAGCAAAATCCCTTTCCGATGCATTTTCATAGTAAAATGCCTTTCCAATGCATTTTCATAGTAAAATCCCTTTGCAATGCAATTTCATAGCAAAAATCCTTTTCCAATGCATTTTCATAGCAAAATCCCTTTCCAATGCATTTTCATAGTAAAATCCCTTTCCAATGCATTTTCATAGTAAAATCCCTTTTTAATGCATTTTCATAGTAAAATCCCTTTCCAATGCAATTTCATACTAAAATCCATTTCTAATGCATTTTAATAGTAAAATCCCTTTGCAATGCATTTTCATAGTAAAATCCCTTTGTAATGCATTTTCATAGTAAAATCCATTTCGAATGCATTTTCATAGTAAACCCCTTTCCGATGCATTTTCATAGTAAAATTCCTTTCCAATGCATTTTCATAGTAAACCCCTTTCCGATGCATTTTCATAGTAAAATCCATTTCGAATGCATTTTCGTTAAAAAATTCCTTTCCAATGCATTTTTATAAAAACTTACTTTCCGATGTATTTTCATAATAAAATCCTTTTTCAGTGCATCTTCATAATAAAATACAATTCAAATGTATTTTCATAGTAAAATCCCTGTCCCATGCATTTTACTGCAAAATCCCTTTTGAAATGCATTTTTATAGTAAATTCATTTGCAGGAGAAGAAATGGAGATATGACTGTACTGTCGTTTCCAAAAGTTACTGTCTAACCGCCCCAGCAGGCGCATGTTCTCGGAAACGTGCCACCGGTCTTTATTAATACCGTTGTGTATTCAATTCTCCCAAGATTCTTTAGTTGCATCCCGCGCTATTTAAAAATGGCCGCAGAATAACAGTGATGAAACACAAGTGAAATCCAGATGAAAGAATTACGAATGAATAATTAATAATGGTTGATAAAGCTTCATATAATACAACTTCAAGATAATAATATTGATGTAATAAAAAGCGGATAAATTTATGATGAAAGAAATACGAGTCAAAAATTAATAATGTCCGACAATGCTTCATCGAATAATAATTAAATTCAATATTATTATTAATACTACTAGTGTAAATAAAGAGAGACTAAAATGAATGAAATAAAAGACAAAATTAATAATAGCTGACAATACTTAATAATAATAATAATTATTAATAATTGATAATTAAAATTACTATTGTTACTACTCGTGTAAATAAAGCAGGTCTAATTAAAAGCCAATAATTTATATGTATTAACAATAATAATAATAATGATAATAATAAGATGGTATTAAAGTCCCGGATACATGGTACAAACACCAACCAAATGATATCAGGTATGGTGATGGAGTGACTATTCTGTGGAATCCTCACAGACAGGAAAACAAATGCAAACAGACCAGATATAGTCATAAAAGATTTCGAAAAAAGGAACCTGACAACTAATTGATATGACTTACCCATAGGATTCTAATGTTTCTAAAAAAAAAACGAATTTCAAAAACTGTCAAATTATAAGGACCTGCAAATCGACGTAACAAAAATGTGGAAGCTACGATTATCCCATTCTTATAAGGGAGTTGGGTGTGATAAAAAAAAAAATATATAAAACTCAGTTTTCAGAACAAAAGGTTAAATACAACAAACATCTTCTAGTCTGCCCCAATCTTAAAGATTCATACACACTTAACCACCCTGAAACCTTAACACCCCAGACAAGGCCATGAGGGCAACACTGGATGAGTGCAGTGTAGCAACTCTATAAGAAGAAAGTACCCAATGTAGCCGGATGAACTAGACATCGATGCTCGCCAAACCCATCAATGGCTTAGAAGCAGTGGTCTGAAAGTGGAGACAGGTCTTATAATGCAGTGTAAGGTCAATGTCTTCCAATATCTACAGGGCTAAAATCAACAAAGATGGTTCAAATCCTGCCTGTCGCTTATGCCATAAATTTGATTAAACTGTTGACCACATAGTATCATATGTCCAGTCCTTGTGAGAAAAAAATACATGATTAGACATGACAGGTTATGACAATATATTCAGTGGCATGTTTGTTCGAATTATGCTATTGAAGTCCCGAATACAAACACCAACCAAATGATATCAGATATGGTGATGGAGTGACTATAATGTGGAATTTCGCAATCCTCACAGACAGGAAAATAGATGCAAACAGTCTAGGTATAGTCATAAAAGATTTCAAAAAAGGAACCTGACAACTAATTGATATGACTTACCCATAGGATTCTAATGTTTCTAAAAAAAAAACAATTTCAAAAACTGTCAAAATTATAAGGACCTGCAAATCGACGTAACAAAATTGTGGAAGCTACGATTATCCCATTCTTATAAGGGCGTTGGGCGTGATAAAGAAGGGTACTTAAAATCATGTGGGTAAAATTCCTGGATATATCAGCATCTCACAACTACAAAAGAGATTACTTTGTGTGGAACTGCATATATCACCCACAAACCCCTCTCGATCAAATGTGCATGGATAATTCTCCTACAGTGGCTCTTTTTACTCATAGTCCCCGGTAGGGACTTAAAATTACTATCTGACAAGATGATACCATACGCAATATTAATAATAATAATAATAATAATACCATAGACCATCTAATCTCAGGATGTTCTGTACTTGCGTCAAATGAATAGAAAATCGTCACGACAGAGTTGAGCGATATTTACACTGGACAATGTGCAAACACTTTGAAAAAGATGTTAATAAACATTGGTATGAACATTACTCAGCACCGGTTACAGAAATAAAAGACAATTCAAAATTCTATGGGATTACACCATCTTTACAGATTGAAACAAACGGACCGGACAAACAGCGAACAGAAGAAAAAAAAACTTGCCTTCTAATTGATATGGCAACTAAGGAATTTGAAAAACTATTGAAGTATAAAGAACTGAAAATCGAAATAGAAAAGATGTGGAAGTTGAAAACAAGAATAGTACCAGTGATAGGAGGTGCGCTTGGAATGATAAAAAAGGAACACAACAACACATGGAAAAATCCTTGGAAATCCTAGCTTCAGAGAAATACAAAAAATGTCTTGATAAGTACAGCCGATCCACTAAAAACAACTTTGTCCATGTAAAGCTAGTGATGTTATAGGAGTTACAAAAACAAATCATGAAATGTAGCCATAACAACATCACGACCAGAGCAGAAATCAAAATATTATAATAATAATAATAATAATAATAACATACCTAAAGAGAACAAAAGAAGCAGATGTGGACCAACAGGAATCAGTGGCTGAGGAGCACCGGGCTGAAAGTTGAGACAGAAGGCTTAATTATTTCAGCTCAGGACTAAAGTCTCGCAACCAGATCCTATCACTGTCACATAATCAACGATGAAACTAACTAATGTAAGATCTGCGGGAAATATGATGAAACTGTCGACCATATTATCTTAGGATGTCCAGAGCTGGCAAAAAATGAATGTATCCACAAACATAAGATAGCGACTTATGTGCATTGGGAGATATGCAAGAAGCACAAAATCGAAACCACTGAGAGATGGTATGACCACCAACTAGACACAGTTACCCAAAATAACGATGTAACAATCCTCTGGGACATGCCAATTCAAAGTGACAGGAAAATAAAAGCCAAGTGTCCTGATATTATCATAAAAGACAAGAAATTCGGGAAGTGTATGCTTATTGACATAGCAGTACCGAGAGAAACACCTCCATAAGAATTATCGACAAAATTGTCCAAATACAAGGACCTGGAGATGGAGATTAACAGGATGCAGGGGATGAAGACTGAGACTGTACCAATAGTAATCGGAGCTTTGGGCCCCGCGAGAAAAAGAATTTTACTAACAGTATCCCAGGTAACATCAACATGCAAGTTGCCCAGATGATCGTCCTACTAGGAACATCCCCTATACTAAGAAAAGTGCTATCAATTAAATGACAATTCTCCTATAGGACCTGAGGACTATAGTTTGGACCCGGCTCTACAGGATACAAAGCAGGAAACATAACATACACAAATAATAATAATAATTAAGTTAATATTACTACTCATACTAATAGCGTAAGTAAAGAAACGGTAAAGATAAAAGAAATACTAGTCATAATTGAATAATGGTTAAGTAAATCTTCATTGTAGAAAATATTTTTTTTCTTTACAGACTTCTTATGGTATGTATGTGTGTTTATGCACTTCACGCAATCTATGCACAGTTTTAGTGCCTGGATCTCCTTAAATAAACAATGTTGGAAGATTATAAAAAATTCGCCTTAAGCCATAATAAAGAGTTGTCTGGCCAAAAAGATAATTACAAAATAGGAAATGGTATTTTTGGCAACAATTTAATAAAGCATCGATTGATTAAATCCGCTTTGCTCAACAAATTTATCCGCTTTTAAAATCAATAATTTATTTCTGATTAAAAAGAAAAGGTAGAATTTTTTTTTGTTTTTTTTTTTTTGCATTCCTATTTTTCCTTTTATTTTCATTTTGTTTCGATTGACTTTATAAACGACAAGGGGGAACAATTCTCTAATTCTCCATCTTTGTTGTTTTAAAGACAAAATTG